AATGGAGATGAGGCATCAGCCTTATATAGTCTTTTCCAGGTGTAAGGACACCTCTTTGTTCTTACTGTGGAAAATTACAGCAAAATGGAGCCTGGAGTCACATGGGCCAGTCCCTGCATACTTTGCTGAGTCTGAAGGCATATTGGCCTTCTCTCAATGGGTCCATTGTATAGCTGATGGTCCTTAATGGGCCATCAAGCAGGCTAGGCAGAGCTAATCCCAGCTTGTCTGGGATGTCACCCAGAAGCATAGCATAAGTTTGCCATACAGACAGTATAGAGCCAATATTCATAACTTCGACTACAAAACTGATACACACATATAGACAGCATAATTATAACCAGTAAACCATAACCTTGTCTTAGACACCCCCATTTGACCCCCTTTATACAAGATTTGGGTGCCACTACAGGACCTTGGTTGCAACAATGATCTATATGGTCCCAGTTTATGTCAATAACGTCACATCTTGCTTACAACACTCTTGCTGATACCTCCCAGAATGATGTTTGCTTTTTTTGCAACAGTGTTACATTCCTGACTCATATTTAGCTTGTGATCCACTGTGACCCCCCAGATCCCTTTCTACAGTATTCCTTCCTAGGCAGTCATTTCCCATTTTGTATGTGTGCAACTGATTGTTCCTTCCTAAGTGGAGTACTTTGCATTTGTCCTTATTGAATTTCATTCTATTTACTTCAGACCATTTGTCCAGATCATTTTGAATTTGAATCCTATCCTCCAAAGCACTTGCAACCCCGCTCAGCTTGGTATCACCTGCAGAGTTTATAAGTGTACTCTTTATCTAAATAATTGATGAAGATATTGAATGGGCCAGGACTAAGCCCTGCAGGACCCCAACTCAATATGCCATTACAGCTTGATTGTGAACCACTGATAACTACTCTCTGGGAATGTTTTCCAACCAGTTATGCACCCACCTTATAGTAGCTCCACCTAGGTTGTATTTCCCTAGTTTGTTTATGAGAAGGTCATGTGAGACAGTATTAAATGCCTTACTAAAGTCAAGATATACCAGATCTGCCACTTTCTCCCATTCACCAAGGCTTGTTACTCTGTCAAAGAAAGCTAGTCAGTTGGTCTGACATGATTTGTTCGTGACAAATCAATGTTGACTGTTACTTATCATCTTCTTATATTCTAGGTGTTTGCAATTGATTGGTTGACTATTTGCTCCATTGTCTTTCCCGGTACTGAAGTTAAGCTGACTGCTCTGTCATTCCCTGGCTTGTCCTTATTCCCCTTTTTATAGATTGGCACTATATTTGCCTTCTTCCAGTCCTCTGGAATCTCTCCAGTCTTCCATGAGTTTTCAAAGATAATTGCTAATGGCTCAGATATCTCCTCAGTCAGCTCCTTGAGCATTCTAGGTTGTATTTCATCAGGCCCTGTCGACTTGAAGACATCTAACTTGTCTAAGTAATTTTTAACTTGTTCTATCCCTATTTTACATAAGAACATAAAAACAGCCATACTGGGTCAGACTAGCCCAGTATCCTGTCTTCCACCAGTGGCCAATGCCAGGTGGGATTCAGAGGGAGTGAACAGAACAGGAAGTCACTGAGTGATCCATCCCCTATTACCCACTCCCAGCTTCTGGCAAACAGAAGCTAGGGACTCAGAGGCTAGCTGCAGATCCTACCTCATTTTCACTGGCATTCATTGTGTTAGACATCCGATCACTACTAACCTTTTTGGTGAAAACTGAAACAAAAATGTCATTTAGTACTTCTGCCAGTTCCACATTTTCTGTTACTGTCTATTGAGTAATCAGCCTACCCTGTCCTTGGTCTTCCTCTTGCTTCCAATGTATTTGGAGGACACTTAATGAGGGGATGAGCAATTCCACTTATCAATCCCTCTTGGGGTCCTCCAAAAGACTTTTTGGGGAAAGTTAGAAGGTGGTGGCTGAATGAAAGACCGGAGTACAAGAAGAAGCAAGCTTCACCATCATGGCTGCCACCGCCACTGTCTCTTGGGACCCTGGGAATCACCATGACACTGCTGGGCCTTTGTCATCCAGATCCTGAGAGATGTCCTGATGAGACTATGCCAGAGAGAAGGACCCAGATGACCCTGCCACCTCCATCAGCTAAATGCCAACCACCACCTGGGATGGGAGACTTTATGTCTCCCTCTCTCCCGCCGCCCGGCAACATCCTTTTCCTTCCCTACCTTATTTCTTTTCTTTCTGTCTCTCTCCTTCTGTTTAATAACAGTCTGGCTTATCTGGCCAAGACTGCATTTTTATTTATTTATTTCTTTTTGCAACACTGCTGTAGGCCTGCCACCAGGAAGGTAGCAAAAAGCAATATCTTAAACGGCCCAGTGCTGGTACAAGTTTGCCAGGTCTCAGATTGGGTGATCAGACCATGTGCTGTGTTTCTCCAGCAGCAAGATTGCAAATGAGAGTCAGCACCAGAAATAGAAGCTGCATTTTCTATCTTTTCTGTTCCCTTTTATGTGTGTCTGTGTTGTTTTGTTTTCAAGAAAACTGGATCAGATTTCAGAGGCAGCTCCAGCTCCCCTCAGCTAACTTCTTTTTTCCCCATAAAGGACAGTTATTATCCTTTTTAATACCATCTAAGATTGCTAGATGGGGGATTTCCTTCTAAAAACTCTCTCCAGCTAAAGGGAAAGGGAACAAAAGATGTTATTAAAATGAAAGCCTTATGTAAAACTTCATATTTCAAATGCTTTGACTATTTTTCCTTCTTTTCTGTATCTTTAATAAAAGGTAAAAGATTTGTAATGGTGTGTTTGCCATGTTACTAAGTAGGCTGAGGTCTCTGTATACCAAACCCTGAACTGTTTAATGTTGGACAGTGGCACATTAACAGTGACTTTTTGGGCCCATTTATTCCATCAAAATTAATACAACAGTTCCCCAAGAGATTCTCCTCCCCCCACACTCCGGGTCCCCCCATCCAGTTGTGTCCTCCCGAGAGATCCCCCTTTCTTTAAATTCTACTTTCTTCTGGGTCCACTGGGTTTGTCCATGTTTACAAAGTGTCTTCCTAAAATATCCCTTCTTTCCCCTCTCCAGGAGCTGATGTGCTCTCTTGAGGTTCCTCAGAAGCGGGATTCCCTGGTTCAGAGTGTGTGGCTGGATGACAGTGTGGGCACACCCAGTAGTGCTAGCTCACCAGGTAAACTGTGCTCCTACCTCCCTCTCTAGAACATGTGAGGGAGTGGAGAGGTAAAGAGACAGCAGTAGCACCTGTTCTCAATACCCAGAATGGGAGGAGTGCAGGGAGGTGAAGTGGAGCAGCAAAGGGCTGGAGAGGAACACAAGCTAGTGAGGGAGCGTAGAAAAGGGGGACAGGGAAATGTGCAGAGAGAGTTTAGGATGGGGGCACTTAGGATGTGCACTGTATAAATGCTTTGATACATATGGGAGTGGGGAGATCGGGGGGGAGGATGGACTTTAGGTAAATCCTGTGGACAGAATATATATACACCTCTACCCCGATATAACGCTGTCCTCGGGAGCCAAAAAATCTTACCACGTTAGAGGTGAAACTGTGTTATGTCGAACTTGCTTTGATCCGCCAGCGTGCGCAGCCCTGCCCACCCGGAGCGCTGCTTTACCGCGTTATATCTGAATTCATGTTATATCGGGGTAGAGGTGTATATGTATGTGTATACAGAGAGAGATTATAGACAGGGCTAGCAGACCTGTCTGCTATTATGGTTGCCTGACACTTCCCATTATAAGACCCTGTTTTCATTTGCTTATAACTTTGCCAGACTTTAACTGTTTCTGCTGAAATTGCCAATGCTGGGTGTTTGCCTCAGGCTGATTGTGGGGTGGGGTGAGATTCAGTGAAATTGGTTCAGCTGTTTCTAACAATTAGATTACCTTGTTTTTCCCATGTTAAAAAAAAATCGTGAGACTTTTTCTCAGAACAGCTCTTGTGCCCCCATGGTTTGGAGCAGGCAGGGATTAAAATTTGGAGCAGGAGGGTGTCAGGTTTTCGCTATCCCTGTGAGAATCCAACCAAATTTGGCCAGATTAAAAGCCTTTGAAAAAATCACAGTTTGCACATGCTCAGCACAGACTTGCTAGAGCTTAACAACTAAAATCTCTGAAGAGTCCATTGTCACTGAGCATACTGCATCCCCTCCTAGCACTGACCTGCAAGTGCATGTGCCATCCCCACAGAGTGACTGAGCATGTTCCGTCCCCTCTCATCTTCTGCACGTGACAGGACTGCACTGAGCCACCTCCATGGAGCAATTCCGCATATTCCAACCCAGGGCTACAGGAGCTCAGACTGACTTCCCCTGTCATTGATGCTTCCAGCTGCTCTAGACTGGGTTGGGGCTGGGCAGGAGCACTGGAACTGAGAGCAGGGAGCCTGTTTCTCCTGTTCTGTCAGTGACATTGCCCCCCTCCCTGACAGACACCCAGGCTGCGTGGAAAAGGAAGCCATTTTATTAGAATGCAGAGGGGCCAAGAGCTGGATGGGGAGATGGAAAAGAGAATATTGGGACAAGGAGTCTAGAGAGACTGGGACTGCAGGGGGAAGGAAACTGTGACTGAGTGGAAGGGGGCAGGTTGGGACTGGTTGGGCATAGAGACTGGGACAAGGAGCTAGGGAGGGCCTGGGTGGGGAACATGAGATGGGATAAGTAGCTTAGGGAGGGAGACTAGGACTGGAAGCCAGTTTGCAGGGGGGGATAGGGGAAGGAGGAGAGGGACAAATTGTATGAGGAGTTGGGAGAGGAAGACTAGGACTGGCTGAGCAAGGTGACTGGGATGAGAAGCCCGAAGAATGGAGACTGGGCCTGGGGAATGGAACCAGATATCAGAGTCTCTGCAGTAACAGTAGTATTCCTCCCTGCAGGGCTATATATCAGGCTAACACTGATATTAAGTTAGGGGATGGAGCCAGGCCTCAAGGTTTCCATAGCAGCAGCAGTGTGTCCCTTTCATCATATCCCTTGTAGTGCCCTGGCAATGGTGGGTGGCACTCAAGTCCCTGCCTCGAGTGGTCTGGTGTTAGTGGGAGTAGTGGGGAAAAGGAGATGGTGTGAGATGTGTGGCAGGAAAACAGACTTGTACAGGGGCTGGTGTTCCGGAACGTGGAGGCGCAGGAGAACCTGAGAAATTAGAGCTATTAGTGATCTATTACAACTACTCCAATTTGTGATGTAGGTCAGCAATTCAGTGTGTAAAACTCTGAAACTCCATGGTGTCAGCTCATACTGGGATGGTGTGGACCAGTTTTTGTAGGATTTGGTTCATGTAAAGCCCCAGAGAATACTAATTCTGCCCTCTAGTGATGCCATGCAGCAACCATACAATTAAGATGGATGCCTAGCAGAGTTTGTGATCCCACATTAGACTAAACTGACTTTTGGAGACAGTTTTTTCCATATTGTTTCCTCTGGTGTCTCTCTATAGGGCAGAATTAAAGTTGTTTGGGAGTCCTAATTTAGCATTCTCAGATCTTAACATGTTTGCATGTCTTTGAAGTTTAACTTGAACTCTGAACCTGCTAGGGACATAATGCTTGTTTTGGAGATAATTATATCATCTCTATAATATTTTTTCACCCTAAAATGCTTCTCTGCAACCCTTACTCCATTGTAATTCAGTGATTGTCTGGGAAATATACAACACAAGCTAGAGACTTCCACCCCATCCCAGTCAGTGCAGAGTCCTTAAGAGGGAAAAGGAAGTAACATTTTACTGAAAAACAAGGCAGAGATTTCCAGTGCAATAACAAACAAGCAGATTGGTGCCCCAAAGGGATGAAGTGGGGAGCAGCTCCAAATGCCAATTTCATGGTAGGGTGTTCTTTGTTTTGTTTGTTTAATTCTTCTCCTCTGCCCTGAAGTTCAACAGATAGGAGGGGTGGTGGGTAGTTCCAGCAGCAACATGGGGACTAGGAGTAATTAGCAGCTACCACAACAGCACATTCCCCTCAGCAGCCAGCTAGGAACCCACATGTCACTTTCAGTGATGGAGTCAGGCTGCAGGGTCTCCAGAGCATCCCGCCCTACAGGACTATGTAAGGAGCCCAGGAATTAGGTCAATTCCATGTGTACAGAGCCAGGCCTCAAGGAATCAACAGCAGGAAAATATCCCTTCCTGGAGGGGCATAGAGGAGTCTGGCCCCAATGTTAATACTGGGGTAGAATGAGGCTTCAAGTGCTCTGTGACAGAGGTGGCAGCACTCCACTAACCTAGTGCATCATGGTTAGTGGATCCCAGACTCTTCCCGGTAGTCGAGCATTTCTCTCTGCCAGGATATTGGGGACTAGAAAGGTTAGAACCAGGTGTTATGTTTGCTGAAGCAGTAGTTCATCCCTTCATGCAAGTCTATGTAGGAGCCCAGCACCAATATCAACAGAGGTTGGAACCAGGACCCACACAACATGCCACCATACAGGGCTACATGGGATCTCAGAAATTAGGTCAATGCCATCTGTAGGGTCAGGCCTGAAGGACAGAACAGCAGGCAAACATCCCTCCTTGCAGGGCTATATAGGAGCTCTCTGTGGCTTGGGAAGGCCACCAGGAAGCCAAGCCCTAACCCCATGGAGAGATGGGGTGGCTGCCCTCAGACTTGGTATCAGGCACCGCAGAAGTGTGAACCCTCTTGGTACCTGATGGAGGCAGGGCTTTCGCTGTGCCTCCATGGCAGTTGTACAGGGGCAGGTCTCTAAAGCATCCAAACTGGCCCAGGTGACAGGAGGCCTCTCCCTGCCACACCCTAAGTACATCAACACTGCCTCTGCACAAGTGGCAGGGAGTAGGGGCCCGCCCAGTGTTGGCTCCCCAGGAAGAAGGTTTGGAAACTGGTGGGATTTCTGCACCCACAGGGGGAGACAGACACACATAGGGACTGAGGAACCAGGGTAAGAGCTGATTAACCCACTTCACTTTTGTAGTGAATTTTGTTGTGTGAGCAGTAGGTGTATTGTGTAGGCAGTAAAAGCACCAGCACTCTGGGGTTAGATGTGATCCCCTCTTCCCTGGGCCTTGTGGTATCTGTGGACAGTCCAGGACTCCTGGACAGTGCAGAAGAAATGATTTTACTAACCCCACTCCTCCTTGCTTCCAGAAGGGGAGTGAATAGGATCAACCATTTCATCCAGCCAGGTCACCTCCCCCCAGCCGGCCTCTATCCTTGCCTCGCAGAACTTGTTCCATCTAACCATGCAGCCTTTTTATTAAACTGCTGCAGACTCCTCATTTCTCTCCCCTTCTCTCCTTTATACCCTGCTGCCTCATCATATTCACTTTGGTCCCATCCTAGAGCTGAGCCAGAGCCCTGAAGTTCAGATCCAAACCACACCTGAATATGGGGCTGTCCAGGCCCATCTCTGTCTGATCCTCCCACTTGGGGAAGCCTCTGTCACCCAATATCTCCTTCTGCCAACAAGAGCCAGGCTGTCTTGCTTACCTGCTCCTCTCTCAGACCGTATAGCAGGGGAGTGGAAGCAGAGATTTTTTCAGTGGTCTCTGCTTCTATGGCCAGGTAGGTCCCCTGCCAGTTGACTCACTGGCCATCTCTGTTTGTGTAACAGACCCTGGAGATAAATCTCTCAGAAGCTGGTGGATCATGCCCCAACATTTGCAGTCAGGATTAGACACTCCATGGTAAAATGGTAATGTTCAGCTCAAGACTTTCTTTGAGATTTCCCGCCTGCTGGCTGGGGATGGGTGGCCATACCTAGCAACTGCATGCTAAGGGGCCAGTGATCTAGTACCACTTCAGAACTCATCCTTGGACTTAAAGGCAGCTCCTGACCTTGCTCCCTTATTTAGTGACAGTTTGGCAAAAAGATAGAGAACAGGAAAGCCAGTGTGAAAGTGCAGAAGGGAATGCAGATTTGTACCTCAGTCGTTGCCTTGCACCATGAGAGATCCAAGGTTAAAATGGGGAAACCCTGCAGACCTTATCACAGCCAAATGATAATAAAAATGATAGCTCCAGAAGCAGGAGAGAAATGGTCCCTGGGAGCAGACTGTTGATTGCAGACTCCATTAAAACAGAAAAGGATCTGTGATGTCATCACCCCAACAGTCTGAGTCTTGTCACAGCAATAGAGGATGGTGCAGAAAGGAAGGGTCTGTGGGATGGGTTGAACCTTTTGGGGATGGACGGGGCCTTTCCTAGAGATGCTGGAGGGG